GTCCGTTGGTTGCCCTCATTCAATTAATGATGTAGGATGTTGTTACTTTTCCCTTTGAATTGCTAGACCGATCGGTTATTATGCGCGACTAATTCGTAAAACTAGTGCTGCTTATTACTGACGTTGGCGAGTCCACTTGTCCTTAGGTCATTTTCAATTGCAGCCAAAGAGGGGAAGAAAAGCCATAGTTTGTTGCATGGGCGGGTCATTTTCTCCAATCCGCCAGCTCTTAAGACCGTTTAACTCCATGCGAAATGGCATAGTTCACGTGTTAAACCTCTTGCTTTGGCGGGGGCTCGGCCGAACATAGAGAATGTCTGGTAAATGGAGATTTAGTGATTATTGGCTGTCAAGCATCCTGGGGGTAGGACGCAAGCGGCGTCCAGGTTTTTTTACTTTCATAAATGGAAAGATAGGCAAACGTCGTTGAGCTCACTATTGGTAACACGGTGACTAAGAAATGCATCGATGACATGGTTTGCGCATTTATCTCATGCAAAAGACACTTATCGCCGGCAATTTTTTAAAATTCAACGTTTTTCCTAAGGAATTGCCGTTTAAAGTCTGCCAAATTTTCTGATGGTGGACATTGTGTGCACATTATGCAAGTTCTTACTTTCGGCATTGAACTTTCGTTTATGTCAAACAGTTGGTTTTATAGGACCGCGATCATCTCCAAAATGGAACCCTTTTCCCTCATGACAAATGAAAAGGCGGAGGGATAATTCGAAGTATCAATTGGTTTGAGCATATAGGGTTGCAGGGTTGTCTTGTTGGAGCGGAAAGTGTTACAAAGTTCCGGTAGCGGTCTGGTAGCCCGTATAAGTTAATCAATGCGGTCCTATAATTTGGATTGCTGGTGTTTACATGAAGGCTAATCAAGGACCGCCAAAGCGTGTCATCCTCTGAACTGGTTCTTGGCAGACTATAACGCAATGAATATTGGGCTGTCTTGAAGCTATTAGACTCCCTTTAATGCCAGGCGAATGACGCCACCCCGAGAGAGCCTGTTCTACCTACATGGCTTGTATTTTGTGAAATTCTGGGGTTGCGTGTCACTTTCCGCGATTCAAAGGGAAACGAATGTTACGAATTTTACGCGTTATATTCGCTGCGGCACATGAAAGGCCTCTGAGAATGCTCATTTTATTTCATAAAAATATTCCCCACAATTTTGCAATATATGCTGGGTAGGCTGTATTTGTACACTAATGTACTTTCTTTGGATTAAATTGTATGAACTTTTTCGGTAATTAAAGGTTCCTGACAAATAAATTTGCGACAAACAGGTCACTGGCATTTGCTAGATAATATTTGGAGCGCTGCCTACCATTCAATAACGTTGATTGTACTGCTGACAGGCTAAATAAATGAACTTTCATGTAGCAACTGTGGGGGTACTAAATCGCTTTTCTTTCTGATGTACTCGATCTCGTGCGTGTTGATATTTTCGTTACTTCGCTTCTTGCCACAACCGGATTGGCATAGTAGCGATAGTCGTGACAGGCGTTCGTGACTTGTGAGGCCGAAGCTATGTGAAAACTTGACGTCTTGTCTGGTCAGCATTTGCTTCTTCACAGTCAAATTCATCTCAGCTAGTTCCTGTCCCTTCCTCGCCTTCATGGTAATGACTAAGGTAATAGTATAGTCCGCCTTCTGACGGTACTAGGGAGAGACGCAGGACGCAATTATTATCCCTTTGCGATAAGGTGTTCAGCGCTTATTCTGCAACCTGGTATTCGTGAGAACGAGGTCGCAGATTGCTTCCAGTGTTCTCAGAAAAGCCTAATGGTGGCAAACGAACAAGGCAACGGAAGCATAGAAGGTTTATGCTGCTGAAAGCGACGGGCTCAGGGATTCACATTAAAATCTGTTCGAGTATGTTTTATTCTGTTACGAGCACGAAGACAATCGTCAGAGCGTTGAGGATTTTGGATTACTTTTAACGGTTAAGTCCGATCACACCTCTGGAGATTTCAGCAGCGTGTCGAAAGGATCAGCAGAGTGAAAGCCCTCGCGGGTATCCGCGATCTTCTTCGAGACGGATTTCTACCGGTTAGACTATAAGCATCCGATGGAGATTGTGTCGACTGGTGGGCTGAGCTGGTGGTCATGTAAGACAAGCGGGGCTTAACTTCCAGGCTACAAGAAACCAGCTCATGCGGACGAAGTTTATTGTCGGAGGTCATGTTGTGTATGATTCAAGGGGGTGTGATTGACGCAGACAAGGTAATCACCTTCGAAGAAAGCCAGTGACTGCGACTCACTTAAAACTGTGTCGGAGGCCAGTAGTTTCATAAGCATCTGTCCATTCTGCAGAAATTTCATCAACTATTAGGTCATACAGCTGTACAGTTTACCGATCTTACACAGGAAGAAGTGACATCTAAGTTTTCATACTCTTGAGGGCAGTCCCTGTCACATTTTCGTTTTGATATACATTAGAGAGCATAGTGGTACTTTTATATTAGGTGCTAACGTAATTGAGAATGCGATAGATATCGGTGACGGAAGATATCCTCGCAATAATGCGCATGTACTAGATTCTGTGGGATCTTCAATACGAAGTGAGCTTCCAGGCGGCAGCACCACTGGCTAGATGTGAAGCCCTCCGTATGGAACTGCATTATGAACTGTGTGTTGTTCCACTAGCTTAAGCCACCGTTACAACTGAAGTGGCGCCTTCAGTCAATTCTGATGAAGCTATCCGAAAGTACCTGTCGGTGCTGGCATAAGTGGACAGCGGTACTCGATATATTCCAGTCACGATTGACGTGAATAAAAGGACTGAAAATAAACCTTGTTTTAAATATCACTCAAAGCGGTCATTCAGGCCTTTTCGTTGGCTGGATAGGAAGAGGTGGAGCACCGACCAACGATATTCTGATCAACGGAAGTCATTCAAAGGCGCGCTTACACATAGGCCTTGATAGTAGCTCCTCTTAGCGCTGATGAAACTACCCTACTAACTGAGAAGACACGGATCCCGCAATGTTGGGCTGAGAACTTCCAAAGCGTACTCAATCGCCCTCCACCATTTCTGAAGCCGCTATCGACCGTCTGCCCCAGGTGGAGATCAATGCTAACCTCGACCTACCACCCACCCTCAAGGAAACTATCAAGGCTGTGTAGCAACGCCCCGGCGGGAAAGCATCCGGATCTGGTGCTATCTCCGCCGAGATTTACAAATACGGCGGCCACCAACTTATATCCCATCTAACCGCGCTATTCCAGGCGAAGTGGCAGCAAAGGCAAGTTCCCCAGGACTTCAAGGACGCCATCATTGCTCACCTCTACAACAGAAAAGGAAACCCCAAACACTGCAATAGTCACCACGGAATTTCGTTGCTCAATATCGCCGGCACAATCTTCGCTCATGGTCTTCTAAGCCGTCTCAACAACCACCCGGAACAAGGACTCCTACTGGAAAGTCAGTATGGTTTTCGCCGTCATTGGGCACCACCGATATTATCTTCGCTGCTCGTCAGCTCCAGGAGAAGTGACAAGAAACGCGCACCCTCCTCAACGTTACTTTCGTGCACCTGACGAAAGCATCCGGCTCCCCTGAGCACTTCTCCCACATGGTATGTCAGCCTTACGACGGATTAATGGCGTGCATCACGGACGATGGGCTGGTTTCCGAAGCCTCTACCAGTGGAATGAAGCAAGGCTGCCTACCCTCTTTAGTCTCATCTTCTCTGTCATGCTGATGGATGCCTGCCGTGACGAGCGTCCCGGGATCCGCAGCAACTACAAAATGGACGGGCACCTTTTCCATCTCTTTCGTATGCAAGCCCCTCTCGTGTCCCCATGACGACAGTTCATGACCTGCTGTTCGCGGGCGACTGCGCTCTGAACACCACAACCAAAGCGAACATACAGTGTAGTATGGAACTCTTCGCCACAGGTTGCGCTAACTTCGGTCTCACCATAAACACGGATATAACGGTGGTCATCCCTCAACTGCCGCCGCGTGTTGACTACAATTCTCCACGGATCAACAGTAACGCTGCCCAGTTCAAAAACCTGGAAATCTTCTCCTATCTCGGCAGCACGTTTTCTTGCAACACCAGAATCGATGACTATGTTGTTCAACGGATCTGTGGCGGTCCGGAGACCACCCCCTGCGTTGACACGTTTTCTTCGCTGTTAAGCTGTCAATTCGCTGCAAGACCCTGTGTATCTCATTGTGCCGGTAGCCGCGAAGCCTTGCAGCCCTGCGTGCAAGGGGCTCTTTTTCCGTCTGCTGTTAACGCCGTCCCCCAATCAACGTGACCCATTTCCTGATTGGTTGAAGGACAGGTCAGGGGTCGCTTCCAACCCTGCGCAGAACACAGAACAGAACACAACAACTGCTTTGTCTACCGTGAGCCACTTGTTTCTGCAGAGCCTTTTGTCAGCTCCTTATCTTACATTACATTGTTCTACTTCATTGAGCTTATTGACATCTGACTTGGGTACATTCCTTAGTCGACGATCCCTCCTCTCGACAAATCTCCAAAACCAGGCAACGATTCGACCGGCTTCAAGACTCTAAGTGGAACCGTCAGGGTCTCCAGCTGTCCACGAAACTGAAGATGTACGAGGACGTCATGCTCATGAGACTCCTGTACGGAGCGGAGACTTGGACCTTCTATGCTAATCAAGTTCGAAAACTAAACAATTTCTATCTCAGCTGTCTCTGCCGGATATTATCCAGGACACGTAAGTCCTGGGCAGAACCGGGGTACTCAGCATCCAGGCCATACTCAGGCCATACAGTTGCGCTAGAGTGGCCACCTGGTACCGATGGACGACCAACGACTACCCAAGTAACACTTTTGGGCGATGTCGCTGTAGATGCTCGCCGCACAGGAGGACAAATTAAGCGCAACAAGAACAATTTGGAGGATTCCCTGAAGCGTCCTCAGATCAACACGGCGACCTGGGAGGAACTCGCACAGGACCGGTCTGTGGTAAAAACTGGCGCAGCAGTCTAAGAAGCCAGTCGGATTGTCGCCGCGCAGGCAAAATGGTTGGCTCGCAAGTCTC